CCCTCTCTTTCTCAAGTAGAATATCTTTCTTCTCTCTTCTTATAAAAGGTTCATGACCCTAGTATTAATTAAGAGTGAGTTACAAAGCAACCTTTCAATTTTTCAAGAAGAGCATCTCATTTTCTAGATTCCAAATGATTTAATTATAAACAGTGTCAATTAATCTCCACTAGCAACAATTCACGCAAGAGTTCAATGCCAATTTTACTTTTGATTCCAACACTAACAATCTCACACTTAGAGTCAAAAGAAAAATTCTTCTACTTTCTATGCACATCTTATTCAGTCAATACTCCGCTCCCACTGAATCAAAGAGCTTCCACTTGACCATATTATGCAGAGAAAAAAAAAGAGAACATTGGTCTAAAATGCCAACTACACATAACTCAATCAAAAGTCGTCATCTGATTTAAAAACAACCAATACACATGTATAGCTTCAAACCCGCTGATTTAGTAATCAACGCCAGCAAGGAATCTCGAACCAACCTCTTAGTCTCGCCATCATTTACACCCAAAAGCTGATTATTCTCATCTCTGCACCAATTGCAAAAGAGACTCTATGCGAGCACTCGCCATTGTACCCGACTTTTAATTTTTCTTCTTCAAGATTTAGGGAATATATGACCATACTCCCATCTAAACGATAATTTCTACACTTCATTTTACCAAAAAACAAGCACATAACAACAACTCGTCCAAACGAGAAGAAATGCAATCACCTTTGGAGATTACGAGAAAATCTTCATCAATTTGTCCATAACATTGTGTCCTTTTTCCACTGGTTTGGGATTCATAACAGCCCCTACAAGCTATCCTTCTTCTTCCCTCGACAACCAATGCTTTTTCATAATTTTTACTATGTTGCCATCAAACCTTTCCATCTTGAATTATGAGCTCATACTTTCTGCCATTTGAACAAGAACAAGAAATACCAAAGCCAATCAAGCTCTGATACTAGTTGTTAGGAAATAAATCCATACCGATATTAAAAACAATTTTGCAAGATTTATTCCTATCCAGCGGAAACATCACTTGATTTTTTCTTCCATTAAAATATAACAGAAATTGACAACATAAAAGTATAAATAAAATCGGAAGCACATAATTTAACTTGCTTCACCCAAAATCAAGCTATGTCCACCAGAAATATCAAATCCACTATGAGAAGTTACAGAGTACACAATATACGATACTCGGATTATTCCAAACCCAAGAACTCTGTATACACCCTCTCACCATTTCTTATACACATGGACTTTCCAACTCCATCTCTCTCTCTCTCTCAAGTACAATATCTTGTTTCTCTCTTCTTATATAAGGTTCATGACCTCTAATATCAATTAAGAGTGAATTACAAAGCAACCTTTCAATTTTTCAAGAAGAACATCTCATTTTTCCATGCTTGGAGATTCCAAATGATTTAATTATAAATAGTGTCAATTAATCTCCACTAGCACCAATCCACACAAGAGTTTAATTTCAATTTTACTTTTGATTCCAACACTAACCTTAAGGCAGTTGAATTTTTATGTAGACATAAACTTTACCCAAAAAAGAGTTTTTATCCTCTCTTCCCACCGATATCAGACAGCACAATTTTGAGTCGGCACACTGCACACATAAGTTTTTAGAATAACTTGGACACATATTTGAAGTCATGGTGATGAATATAGTTTTCACCTTTCAATGTATTATAAGGAACAAATAATTAAAACTTTTAATTTGAACAATAGATTACGAAATGGGAGTGGATCCTCTCGTGTGAAAAAGTGGTCATGTTACTTGATCACAACCACTCATTGATGATGAGATAAGAGAGAGAAAAGTGTATAATTTTTAAATGAATGGTTGTGATCAAATAAAATGACCACTTTTGCACATGAGAGGATCCACTCCCTTGCGAAATACACAAATGCATTCACATGTATATCTCATCCCAGATGTATGTACATGGCCTAGGTAGCTTATGGGTTAGCTAGATTTATCATCTTATAAGCCATGGTTTCAAATTAAAGTAGGAGAAAAAGGAGGGTAAATGAATATATTAAGGAAATTCAATGAAAGAGAACTCTATGATATATCAGATGCTGCTACGGATTGAAAGATCTCATCAACCCACAAAAGAGATAAAGGAAACACAAAAAAGGAGGGGGTTGCATGGAGCAGCATGGCTAGCTATTGGGGGAGAAAAAGAACTATATTCAAGCAAAAGATAACTTTTTCTATTGCTTCTGCTTTATAATGCTGAAACATAGCAACATGCATAGGAAGGATGCATGATTGGCTTTCATTTTAAACCTATTCACACCCTTTTATTTTTTATTTTATTTTTTTGGTTTAGGGACTTGGAAGCTGAAGAAAGAAACACTAGAATATAACTAGGTATGAAAATAGAATGAAAGGGTCTCATTCATTTTGCAATGAGTCAAGTGGAAAAGGATGCTGGTATAAAATAGGAATGCTTCACGAGTGTGTCAGAAATCTTAGGACAATGAGGTATCTTCTGTTTTTTTATTTTTAGGACACGTCGCTCCAGAAAGTTATGGGAGACATATGGAGATATATATTTCATTGTTGGGGAGTCCCTTTATCTTTCTCTACCTTTTTGCTTCTTGAGTTCTCCAATCTTTTTTCTTAATCTTGAGTTCCCCATTGGAGAAGTGGAAATTTCTTACTTTTCTTCTCTTTTTCTTGCAACTTTTTAATTGCTTTTTCTTTCTTGGAAAATACTATTCATTTATCTATATATACTTATTAATAATTTATTCCTTCTTTTTATCTATTTTTTTGAAAAAAATTGATAAACTAGTTATTTTCTTTAAAAAATATTAAACCAAGCATGCACTTAGATTATTAAAAATTATTTTGATCAATTTAATAATTCAAATTTAAATTTTCCATATTTTAGTCTCTCTCTTTTATTTTCAAATAATAAAGGTGAATAATATACATATTTATTGTTTTAGAAATTAAATAAGACTATACATGATTATAAATGAGTCATACTCAAAATTTTAAATTTTATTGAGAGAACCTTCCAAAAATAATAGTTTTAACAAAAAGACTATATGATAAAATTAATTAATAAAATTCTATTTCTTATCTTTTCGGGATCTGATTCTATCAAAGGCAGGTTGCCCCTTCTATCTGATTTTGGCTCACTTTCTTAGTTTTTTTTTTAATAAAGCATAGGTATTCTTTACAGGTGGTAATTATGTTCGGAACGAGTTCAGAATTAAGGTTTTAAAGTTTAAATCCCTCCTAAAAATAGTAGTGAAGGATTAAATTTATACTCTCACTCCCACATGCTCAGTTTTCATATGTCAACTGAACTACTATCTTTTAATATTTTGTTAGTATTATAATTGTAAAATATGTCTCCCGTATCCTAGATGTGGATATAATTCACCCACCAAAAGAAATAAAATTAAAAATTAAAAAGCTTTTATTTTAATAAGATTTTTAATTTTTCTTGAATCAACCTTCTCAGCTTTTACGAAAGAATGCTATTAAATATCTAAACTTAGTTTCTATTTTTCTTCCAATCGTTTGCCTGAAGATCTAAGGGGGCATTTGGTAGAATTTTTTGTTGTAGATCTCAGGCAACTTCCATCGCACTGATATTCTCTCTTGACCATGTTTGGTACAAGAGCCAAAAAAATATAATCAGGCAAATTCTTTGTCCAGCATTTTGGTTTTTTTTGCAAAATTTGAAGAAATTTACTATTACAGAAAATCACTTGTGATGTGGTATTTTGGGGTTTGCTAGGAAATAGAGAAAAGAAACGTAAAATGGAGACAAAAATGACTCTGAGATGTACTGTTGTCATCCGTCTCTTTTCTTTTTTTGAGATTCAAAAATTAAAGGGGTTGTTTTTATAATTTCAATATTTTACCTTCAACCAAATATAAACTTAGAAAACTTAATTAATTTTTTCAGTAATATTTTATCTTACCAAACAACTTTTTTTCAACTTTACCAGTAAATTTACTTTCCTACCATTTCCCAAATAATTATATTTACCTTATTAAGAGAATTTTCTCCTCTACTAAATATCACCTAAAGAAAAAAAAATAACACAATAGAATCATATAATCTGTTAACTACTCCCATGTCAAGCCCTGCCGCTTGTACGGGCCACGTCAATTCCTTTAAAACAATTTTATCTCGTTCACACATAAAAATTGGGTGGAACCTATTTTTTTTTTTTTTCTTTAATAGGTTCCACATACATTTTTATATGTTGCATTAAACAAAATTATGTCATGCAACATAACAAATATATTTTCCGCTATAATTATTTATAATTATTTCATTTTAATGAAAGGGTTAATATTTCTCATATTATAGAAAATAAATTTTATCTACTACACATACATACATAAAAATATGTGGGGTTAATGTGGGCTCATGTAAAGAGAAAGAGAAAATGTGGATCTCATAACCATAGACTTTTATGTGTGCGTAGGAGATAAATTTATCTACTGATAAAACCGGTTATCTGAATATAATATAATTTCCTTAACTTTGGTTGTTCTTGTTTGCCATTCCCTGCATGTTCCGTGGACATGTTTTTTTGTCATGTTACGCAGTTTTTCACGAGGGCTTGACAGAGTTATTTTCGGTTTCATTTCATTTCTTTTTCTTTTTGTTATGTCTCTTTTTTCCATCCTTTGTACGAAGGCCAATAATAAAACTACATAGTACATTGCTCATTCACATTGACATTGTTTCCTTTTCTTCTTCTTTATTACATCTTCTCTCTATTCTTATTTCTTTTGGAGGATCTCAAAGAATGCATTATTTAACAACTATATCTTTTCCGCGAAATGGAAGAAAAAAGGCCTAAATTTGTGAGCTGCAAATGCAAAGCTTCATGACCCCTTTTCCTTTTTGTCTCAAAAACCATGACTGAACTTTTGTAGTTTTCACTATTTCAAGACCCTTTTTTTCTTTCAGTGGCAGCATCATTTGCAGTGTTCCTTCTCACTGAGCCAATGGGGAGAGCCACAAGGTGGTTGAAGAACTTGTTTGGTACAAAAAGAGACAGAGAACACAAACAAAATTCAAACTCTGGAGACCCCAAATGGCTTCCTCCTCCTCCTTCTTCTTCTGCTCCTCATTCTGAGAGTAATTCCAAAGTTTTATGTCACAATCCAACAACTATTCCACCTAACATTTCTCCAGCAGAAGCTTCTTGGTTACAATCTTTCCACACAGAAACAGAGAAGGAACAGAACAAGCATGCTATTGCTGTTGCCGCCGCCACCGCAGCAGCGGCTGATGCCGCCGTGGCTGCTGCACATGCTGCGGTGGCTGTGGTTAGGCTCACCAGCCGTGGCAGAAGCACCACCATGTTTGGTGGTGGACATGAGATGTGTGCTGCTACTATCAAGATTCAAACAGTATTTAGAGGATACCTTGTAAGTTTTCCTTTGCTTCTTATTAAGCCCAAAATACATAATCAAAAGTTTTGTACAAGTTTTTAACTTCAGTGGTAACATGTTCATAGATTTGGAATTTTGCTCTAGTCTTTTTTTCTGCTTGCACTTTGGAATATCAAAAATTGACATGAGTTTTTTTTTTTTTTTGGATTGTGAATACTGAATAGGCAAGAAAGGCACTGAGAGCCTTAAAAGGATTGGTTAAGTTACAGGCACTTGTCAGAGGGTATTTAGTGAGGAAGCAAGCAACAGCAACACTGCATAGTATGCAGGCTCTTATTAGAGCTCAAGCTACAGTTCGGTCTCAGAAATCTCGCAGGTTCATGAGCACAAAGAATGAACCTTACAGATTCCAAAACCAAGCAAGAAGATCCATGGTATTGATACATATTATCTATTGTAGCTAGAATTCACTTTTTTTTTTTTTTTTGAGTAAACCCAAGGGTATCCCCACCCCACATAGGATGGGACTAATCCCCTTTCGCGGATTGAGAGGGCAAGGAGTTCTCCGCTATCCACAAAGTGTGTTTAACAGGAGTCGAACTCAAGCCCTTTAGACTCACAGTCCGAAACCTTTGGAGTTAGCAACAAACCAACTAAGCCACACTTTGCAGGTCTAGAATTCACATTTATGTGCAACAAATTAACATGTCCACTTGCTTGGTTGGTGGCTACTTTTTGTCCTAATTGTTGTCATTAAAATTCTTTGCAGGAGAGATTTGATGACACTAGGAGTGAGTACACAGCTCCAATACACAGTAGAAGGCTCTCATCTTCTTTTGATGGCACAATTAACTACAACAACAATGGTGTTTATGAAAGCCCCAAAATAGTGGAAGTGGACACTGGAAGGCCTAAGTCAAGGTCTCGCAGGACCAACACCTCAATATCAGATTTTGGTGATGACCCATCATTTCAGACACTTTCTTCTGCTCTTCCAATTCCATGTAGGAACCCATCTCGTTTATCCACACCAGACCAAAGGAATTTGCATGAGTTTGATTGGGGGTTAACAGGTGAAGAATGCAGATTCTCTACAGCACAAAGCACTCCACGTTGTAGTTGTGGGTCAGTTGCACCTATGACACCAAAGAGTGTATGCACTGAAAATATATTCCTCAGGCAATATGGGAATTTTCCAAATTACATGGCTAGCACTCAGTCTTTCAAGGCTAAATTGAGGTCTCATAGTGCTCCAAAGCAACGGCCAGAACCAGGTCCAAAGAGGAGGCTTTCCCTCAATGAAATGTTGGAGTCTAGGAATAGTTTGAGTGGGGTTAGAATGCAAAGGTCTTGCTCACAGGTTCAAGAAGCCATTAGTTTCAAGAATGCTGTGATGGGTAAGCTTCACAAGTCCACAGAATCTGCTAGGGAGACAGATAGAAAGTGCTTCCACCAGAGAGGGTGGTGACTGGTGCAACTTAAGATAGATTCATAATCATAGTTAGATCTCTTTTGCTTTTCACACTGTTAGTAGACTCTCTATTTCTGCTCCCCAAGATTTGCAATTTGGAGGTACAAAGTGGGTGGGAAACAATTGAGTGTGTAGACAAATTAGAAGGAGAAAAAATGACAAGTTCCTCATTGTTTTGTAAGAAGTTTGGCCATGGAATTTTCTTATGTTGTCATTATAATCAAATGCAAGAGTAATTAATTTGCCTGTGAACTCCCTACATGATTTCTTTTTCTTTTTTTATTTGGTAGCTGAGCTTGTTTTGCTAGTGATAATGAAACCTAAATTCAGCTGAAGTAGGCCAGTAGCTGATAAAAACAATTCCAAAACGAGATTCACAAAAAGTAAAATACTGTAAACAACTTGCCTATAAGAAAAAGAGGAGGATATGAAAGAGAGTTTTTACAAGAGTTATGTTACAACATGGTTCAAACTATACTTTTGTTGTTCTATGGAGGGTCCAACTTTTTTTTTTTTTCAGGCAGACAATTTTGTCAGCCACTCTCATAAAAAAAGAAGTGAGTCCCACAAAAGAAAAATGGATCACACAAAAAATGAGTCAATTAAAAAATTACATTTATTTTATCAGTAAGATAGTGTGCTGCAGATAAAAAATTTATGTTTTTCTTTAATATGTATAAAAAAAGGGTTTCGATTTTCTCAAGTGTTAGGACAAATTTTTTTCATGCTGTAGACATATTTATGTGGGATCCACATCTATTAAAAAAGGGCCGACCCAGTTCAAATACCCACTTCGTGAGTGTCTGGGGAAGGGAATACTCTAGGCAGTCTTTCCCCTGCCTTTTGCAGAGAGGCTGATTCGAACCCGCGACCTGACACACCACGGCAAGCAAGCTTACCGCTGAGCCAAGCCGGCCCTTTTGATCCACATCTATTAAAAAAAAAATATTGCATAAAAATCAAATGGTCACTAATAGAAAAAAAACAAGTCTCCCACGACATCACATAATGTTTTTCCATACAAAAAAAAAAAGGCAATTTTTATGGCCTTTGACATGTGTAAGCTAAGGTTTAATACTATTTATTTTATTTTATATTTTTTGTCTAAAGGCTTAATACAGTTCATTGTGTGTGAGATGTGTAGTCAAAAAGTGTACTCATGTAACTCTTAAAAGTGAAACAACATCATTATGTCATGTAAGACTTTTGGGTTATCAAGTAAATTTTGTTGTCAAATCATTGAGAGCAAAGCAAAGCTACATTGATTGTGTTCTAAGCATTGGAGTCACGAAAAAATCAGTTATTAAGCTCAGCCTTTTCAATTCGCATATAATAGTTAGCAATTAATGATTGAAGATTTGATTGAATGTGATGGGAATATTTAATGTCAAAGGACACAGTCCTCTGGCTCATTCTGCTATGAACAGTTTTTTATTGTTTTGAATTTTGAATGGAATATGAGACAAGAAGGGTTGTGTATTTTTAATTGCTTGTTGATGCTTGCCCCTTTGATGGTTTCAAAAATTGTGCATCTGTTTGTATGTTTTTTTTTTTTATCTTTTATTAACCTTCGGCTAACTGGGGTCTAATCAAATTTGATTTAGGCTGTGACGTTTAAAATTGATTAATTGTAGGCTGTAGCAGAAATTTAAGATGCATTCATAAACAACATTTTGGATGATACTATGTATCTTTTGTTCATAATCTGAATTTACAGACTGTCAAAGAGCTAATCTTTTTATTTATTTATTTATTCATTCATTCATTTATGAATCCTTTGATTTCTTTATAAGATTGAGATTTTTATTTATTTATTTTTTAAAACTTATAAGATTGAGACTTGACGTATCGTGTTTTGTATTCTCTGTCACACACGTCCAGTTAAGTACACGTCTGAATAACACCTCGAAATTGTATTCTGAAACTGAAACTTCTTTTACCACTGTTGAAAGTAACCCCTGGAGGCTTGGACCAAATTCTTGTAGGCTAATAGCAATTTTTTGTGCGTTTGTTTTTAATAATTTTATACTAGGTTTATTGTTTATCCGGATAGGTTCTTTTATTTTTATTCATTTTTTACATATATTACTTACTTATTTTTAATATTATTGGATCAAAATATCAAGAGGAGAGAAAAAGAATGAGATTATGATCCAGTGATATTAAAGTTGCGTAAGTAAGGTATACAAGAAAAAAATATATTGATAAAATATCTCATCCTATTATTTCTCATGTTATAAGAAATAAATTTATTTTCTATAAAAATATATAGAATTCATATTTTTTTTCTTTTTCCTCTCTTCTCCTTACATGGATCCATGTGGATCCCACACACTTTTAGGGACTGTTTGGTAGGAGTCATTTTTTTAAAATGCCAGGAAACTGAATTTGGGATTTGTATTTATCCATGTTTGGTAGGAGTTTTCACAAAATTTTCTCTGACATCTAATTTGTCCAAGATTTTCATCTATGTAGAAATTATGCTGAAATTTCCCTTCCTAGAATACCAAAATACCACCAAAGAGGTGGTATTTTTGGAATACCGGATGATGAAATTTCCACACCAAAATATTCGTACAAATTTACCCTTCCCTGATGCAAGCATCTGGATGACAGAGCTATTTGTCAGTAACATATGTGAATATGCCTAATTCACTTCTCTCTTCCTGTCTACCACCTCTTTAGCGTTTGAGGGTACCCCATGAAGACACACTACTCTCACCATCAAAAGGTTTGAATAAAATATGAAGTTGGCATAAGGCCTATGAAAGGTGTTTGTTGAGAGATTACTTTCTTAAAATGGGCCTATGAAAGGCCTAACGTTTACAAATTTCAAGCCCAAATTTCAAGCGAGGATGGATTCATAAGGTGGTTAATAAGTCATGATAGAGAACCTTAAATAGTTTATGTTATTTGCTCTTGAACATTAAGTAAGGCCAGAGTTTTTATCCAAAAAGAGAGTAGGGCCAGATGTGGAAGCTCATGTGATGTAAAGCTGCAGCATGCTTTGTTTAGAAGTTGATGTCAAGACCTCTCCAAAATTGAATAAATTATCTGAGCAATTGTGTACCCATTTAGAATTAATGTAGGTTACTAAACAAATAGGATATGCAGGCAAAAATAAAATAAGATTATATGGATATAGTTATAAGTAGAGGAGTCAAATGGGCTGTCCCTCCCCATTCCGCCATGACCTACCAAAAAACGAGTCGGTCCGCCCCAATTTTCTTTTGAGAATAAGTTGAAAAACTTGACTCGCCTCGCCCTGTTTGGCTGGTAGGACGGGTTGACCAGTCGAGCCAAGCCCGCTTCTCTTTTACACTAACCAGCTCTGTCTTGTTTGGCAGGCTAGGCAGATTGGTCCGTCGAGTCGAGCCCGTTTTGTCAGCCCTAGTTAAAGGAGGGGAGGTGATTCAAGTTAAGACGGACAAGTCACGAATTTAATATGAATTTAAAAATAGGCCAAAATATTCGATATGAACTTGACTCATTTATTTTTCTGATTGATACAATAGAAATATCTCATCAATCTCAAAGTGGGTTATTAATTATGCGGTTTGACATGATACAATGTGAACAAATAATCTATAAAGAAATTAATGTGGATAAATTTCGCATTTACGGATTGACATACAATAAGCACAATTTTTTTTTTAAACCGAATACAACACAAATTTAAAATCAGATCGACCCAAACATGAATTTCTAATGCGGTGTTAAAAAATTTCACCCCTAATTTTAAAGCCTACTTGTAATTATCTGACAAATAGGTAAAAGAAAATTAAAAAAAAAAATCGTGAAGCAGTTGAGATCTGCCAAGTTAAATGAATTGTAATTCTAATTCATGGACCAGAGATTGGGGACTCAGAAAATCACTATTAAAGTTATCCAAAAAGAAAAAGAAAATCACTATTAAATTGTAAATTTGTAATATATAATTTATACATAAAAAAAAATTCCTCAAGAGAAATTCAAATAAATTTTCTCAAAAATCAATAAACAAACTGTGTATGAATTCAACTAAAATTTGATCCATTCAGTCCCATCAATAAAGCTAAGTGAAAGAAAAGGTCTAGCTTCATCATCAGTAAGTTCTCTTGACCATGATACTCTCCCTGCAAAGCTTGCTCCAGGTCCTGTGCATTTGTACTGTCCATAGAATACAGTCCTGGTGGTGGTGGACCCAATAGAATACATAAACATGTGAACAAATAACTATAAATCCACTCACATGTGCATCCCAATATGTCTAATCTATAGCTGTATAGCAAATAACGAAATATAATATATGAAGCTATAGGATTAGGTGGCTGAGGCCCTTTTCAGACACTATGCGCATGCTTGATGCTTCTATGCCTTATCTATATTAGCAAATACAGACATGAACTTTGGTGGCTACAACTACAACCCTCCCTCTATTTATTTCCCTTTCCCTCAAAAGTGGTATGTATTTGTTATTCTTACGGAAGTTCTTAGTTTGTTTGATGGGATTAATGTTTATCATATTGTAAGAAATAAATTTTATCTTCTATATATATATATATATATATAAAAGTGTGTGGGATTCATGTGTGAGAAAAAAAAAAAACATAGGTCTTACATAATTTTATCTGTGTATAAGAGATAAATTTATCTTCTATAACATGAGAAATAATAAATTTTTATTTTATTGGAGGGTTCATAGCATAGCACGTAGTATTGCACCATATTTGTGGATATACCCAATATTCCCTTATTATTCTATTATGAGAATAGAGTAATTATTAATTTCTGATAAGAGTACGACAGAGACTGATTATGCAGATGCTGAGGGATTTGTTTGTCATTTAACATAAAGTTACTCTACTGAGGAATGAGGATGGTGTTGAGATATTCAAGTGTGATGAGTCCCACATTGGTTGGTAATGAGCTAAGTGAAGAGTATATAAACCCAATGCCTTAAGATTTTGGGTTGAGACATGGTGTCGGATCCACTTGCTACGGTTGGTGTAGCCTTAGCTCATTGGTGGTGGCTCCCCACCACGGGCTTCCCCTGGACCCGCTTGACATTGGAGTTTGACGGAACGAATTTTCCAAGGAAGGCTGTGTGTGATTTGTTGAAGTGTGAACTTCATTAGATGAAGGGCAAAGATGACAAACAAACCTTCACGCCGATACAGTACAAATAGTTTATGTAAGATATTAAGTGAGTGGCACCGCCCCATTGTCCCTCTATTGACTAGTAGTGTAGAAGGGGTTAAAGTTCTTCAGAACAGAACAATACTGAATTGATATATAAGAACAAGATTAATGGAGGAAATTTTCAATCTACTTTATAGGATGTCAAATATTCTTTCTAGTTGTAATTTTTTAAGAGCAACAAATTGTCCTTTCCATTGTCCTTAACCTGGTTCGCGGTGGATAAATAATAAATTGTACAGATAAAATGACCTTTTGGCCGTGCATTTACTTAATCATAATCATGGCCTATAGGAATCAACTGCTTCAAATGAGAGGGGAAGAAAAAAAAAAATAAACAAGTGAAAAGGAAAGGTTCATTATATTGAAATGTATCATTTATGGGTTTTGCATCTATCATTTAACATGACCACAACAATTTTCCTACACACACAATATTTTGTGGGACCCACAATTTTTGAAACCAAAAAAAAAAAAAAAACTCTGGCACGCAAAACGAATCTCTATAACATAATACAATCATTTTTCCTACAACATAACTCTTATAAAACCCATCATTTATATCTCAAAACCTACACTTTAGCTATACAATATGGTTATTGATAAGTTAATTATCAGTTAACAAAATTTCTTGCATAATCAATAGACTAACATATTTTTCAAAGGTTTAATGTTTCTCATATTATAAGAGATAAAATTATCTCCTACACAAATATAAAAGTATATAGAACCCATATTTTCTTTTTTCTCTTTTCTCCTCATATGACCTCATACGAGCTTCATATAATTTTATGTGTGTGTAAGCAGTGGCAGAGCTAGCTCATTCGTTGAGCTAGGGGCAACAAAAATTTAGGTGGGACCTAATACTAAATTTTATTCAGAAACTTAGCCACGATTATTTATCAACAATAAAACATGGTTAATTTTTGAATTTTAGCCCTGGTCAAGGCCTCATCCTCACCCTGCCTCTAAGTGGCTCCGCCACTGTGTGTAAGAGATAATTTTATATTTTATGAGATGAGAAACATTAAATCATTTTTCAAAATAAAAAAGAGTTCGTTTTTTCTACGGTCAATGTAGATAACTTATTTACATTGACCTCAAAACGACGTCGTTTTGATGCTGAAATCAAGTTATTTTTGTAATTATAATTTATTTCAGGGTTATAATAGTCTTTTTTATTATAATTTTTTAATCCAAAATAACATCATTTTGGAAGCGAATATAGATAACTTATCTACATTCACTTTAGAAACATTAACGCCAATAAAAAATAGTCAGAATTAACACTACATTGTTAATAACCACTATTTTTTTATTAGAAGAATAGTAACCACTAATCAAATCATTAGTACATGAGTGAGAAGGATGAACATACATTTCACGGTTAGGGTCACCCCAGTTATACCAGCCTTTGGGAATGATGATGTTGTCCATATAGGTATAAGCGAAGACCACGCGAGAAAAGGGACCCCAAGCTCTTCCAAGGTATAGTGCCCCTGACCCCGTGACCATACAGTTCACAAATGAGAACCCCGTGTCTTCCAATATACTGCTCCTTCCTTGAGCTGTAAGTGCCCCTGTATTCTGTGCTATGGCATGCACGTGACATCCCTAATGTGTCACCAATATAACATAATATATTCAAATTTCGTCTCTTTTTAATTAGAAAACAACTTAACGGAATTAATATGGATAGAAGAAAGTAACACAACTTGTTTGCAATTAAAAAATTTGTTCGGAGGGGCGAGCAGCTTTAACTATGACTAAGTTTCGATTCGGGATTAATTTCTTAATTGACAGAAAGAGTTAAAGTTTGTGAGGAAATCCGGTCGACAGATTTGTCTCAAAGAGATAATTAGTGTCTGTATATCAACAAAAAAAAAAAATTGTCGGTGAGTAAATAGTAGGTAAATTAATTGCTCACATTTGTTAAATAATGTGAGACAAATTTGGTTAGGTTATGCTGATGAGGCCTAAGGTTAATTAAATGAAATCATTCTAACTTAGAACTAATGATTTATGGAGAGAAAATCTAACCTCAAAAAGTGAGAGAGAATTGCCAAATATGAAATCAACAGAGCCTTCAATATAACAATCCTTATAGTAATGTCTGCCAAGATGATCATAAAGTGTATCTTGTGCTCCTAAGAATTTGCATCCCAAGAATGCTGCATTGTCTGCTGAAATCCTAAATGCCACAGCTTGCTTTCCAACTGCTCCTGGTGCAGGAACAGGAGTAGTATTCTGCATTAACAGTTAACACAATATTTTTCTTGTAAAAGCCACACACACAACTAAATTTTAGATACAAATAAGAGTAAATATCCTAACAACAAAAAATATGATCGCAGGACTTTAGTTCCTTACAAAAAAAATTAGTCTCGAGGTTCCTAAGAAATTCAAAGTGGACCTATTTAGTTGAAATTGTGATCCCTCACAAATTCAAAAAAGACTCATATTAATCCTTCAAAAGGACTAAAATGGGTCCATTTTGAATTTTTTAAAGAGCTCGAGAATAAATTTTTTTTGTAAGAAACTAAAGTGGGGACCGTATTTTTTATTAGAGACCCGCAAGAATATTTACTCTGTAAACAAATGAAGGGGCTTGTTACTTACTTGGAATGTGACGTTCTTGGCAATGAAATAAGGTGAATTCACTGCAAAAGTTGCTGAACCATAGGTTCCCATTGGCCTCCCTCTAGGACCAGGTGTTTGAGCAGTGTCACCCCATTGAACAATGGTTTTATCTGCACCAGCTCCTTCTATGGTTATGAAGGATTTCAATGTAGGAATGTTAACTTTCTCTCTGGACATAAAGCACACACAAATGCAAGGGAAAAATCAGAGACTTTTATTCAAATGGAATTGGTCACAATTTGCTTCAAGACATAGAAGAATAATTTGCAAAAAAAAAAAAAAAAGGACACAGTTAAAAGAAAGGAAAGTTCAATCAGCTGCAAAATCTTGTTCAGTCAAAAACCAATGCTGTGAGAATTTGAATGATTGAAGATTGGAATCAGAAGGAAAAAGACAATAGAAGAAACAAAAAAGCTGTTAATGTTAACCTTTTTCCATCTTAGGGACCAGAATGTTGCAGAATTGAATTTGAAGTACAAGAAAACATAGTACTATATAGTAGTACTCACGTGTAAACCCCTGCATGGACCTTGATGACCACTCTCACAAGATTTATGAAAGGAAGTGAATCAATGGCTTCTTGAATTGACGTAAAATCTCCAAAAGCAGGATTCTTATCAACGTGCAAAGTGTAAGAAGCAGAAAGCTTATTTTTTGCTGCCTTGAAAACTGAGTGTTTGAGGCTACCAACAAAGTTCACCCATTTCATGAATTGTTGTTCTGAAAACTGTACTCTTGTCATATTGATTGATAAACCATTCCCCGAAGAATGTCCTGGTTGAAATCCTTTGGTATGGCAATGTGTTTTAATGGGATTTTGCAGAAGAAGGAGAACTCCTAACACATTGAGAATGTAATGCAAGTTTGACATTCTCAGAGAGAATGTGAAAGAAAAAAAAAGAAAGATAATAATTAAGGAATGGTGTTTGGAATTTGAAGTGCTGTAGAAATTGTTCCATGCTATGGTGTTTATTTATATACAAGTTACGGTACTTTGTTTTTGGGTGGAAAGTAAAGCTGACTCAGAGAAGCAATGATAGAAAATGAGAGGTCACGGGTGCTTCTACTGAAATCCATGAAGAAAACGAAAGAGAGAGAGAGAGAAACAATATCTAAAGTCTAAACCACAAGACAGGTTGCACTTTTTGCGTATAAAAATGTTGTCTCTTCGAAATATTTGGTCATTTTCCCTTTGTTCTTGTTGTTTGTTTGGTGTGGCCCGTGAGCCCCTCTTTCTCTGTGTGTGTGTGTGTGTCTTTGATCATGAAAATATTATTATTGAGATAATGGGTTGGTTTGGGTTGGGTTGTGATTAATATATGATACAACATTTCATGTGAGAATATATAGTAGGGTTATATTGATAATTTATTTTTTTTACAAACTTACAAACTACATTATATTTGATTGGTAATACTCTACTCAAGAGTGTTTTACCGATGAGATATAGTATAATTTGTAAGAGTTTGTAAACAAAAAGTTTATAAATATAATCTTTTCGAGAATATATACATATATAAATTTGAAGTGAGCTTTTTCTGCTTTTATGCATGCTGAATGCTGATAATACCTACCCTTGAATCATGACCGTTAATACCTACCCTTAAATTTGGATCCTCATTAATTAATGTAATTAGATTAATCTTCTTGTTGTTTAGCTGATTACTGTTATTTGATAACTTGTAGTGGTTCAGATTGATTCTCAATTCTAAATTCCATGTAATTGGCGAATCACAGAAACTCTGTGGCCTCCCAAGGACTTTGCACTTTGGCAGAAGCAACAATGGTGAGGCCATAGTCATAACCATTTTTTTTTTACACCGAAGTCATAACTCTTAATTAATGATGTTAAGAAAGTAACAATCAAAGCATCTTGATAGATATTGTGCAATTTAATTACGAGAAAAATGATTACTTAATGGGTTCCCTTTTTGTCATTTGACATGACAAGAGCACTTTCCTACACACACAAATCAAGTGTAGGTCTCACGCTTAAAAAAAAAAAAGTCAGACCAAAGTCAGGATACGACGCCGTATCCTTGTTGCAGGAATGAACAGTGTCATCCCTGCAACATGATTCTTATATTTCCCTTACTTAATTAAGGGGTATGAATGTCTGTTTTTCGTCTTAATATTCAATGAAATGTATTATGTTTTTGGGAACGATTCGTTTACAAATTTTTTTTACAAAGTACATTAAGTATGACCGGTCATACACTCTTGATTAAAGTGTGACTGGTCAGACATAGTATAATTTGTAAGAGTTTGTAAATAAAAAGTTTATAAATATAACATTTTCCTATGTTTTTAAAATTTGATGTTTGTAAAATATAAATATTTAAAGTTGATGCGCTAAAGTTAACTTGAAAAAAACAAAAAAAGAGAATTGATTTTAAAATATAAGGGAGAGTTATATTTACAAATTTTTTATTTAAAAACTCTTATAAACTATACTATGTACTCCCATAAGTATACTAGGTTACACTATGTACTTCCGAAATACATAATGTAACTTATAAAAATTTGTAAAAAAAATTTGTAAACGAATCATTCCCTAAAAATATATTATATACTACATTTAGTAAATATCATCTAAATATAAATTAAAATATTATAACAAAAACCCAATAGGTTCATGATAATGATTCTTACATTAGTGTGCAAGGATGTAATCTGAACTCAATGTTTGTGATTTAGAATATAAGGAAAAAAAGATGTCCTTATGAAAGACACAAGTTTATGTTATTTTAATAGTTTTTAACTCTAAAAAATGTATAGTTATAATATTAAAGTTATACTTTTTTTATTTTTCATGTTAACAATAAAGTTATACTTTTTTTTGTTTTTCATGTTAATAGACAGTTTCTGAAAAAAAAAAAATACAATTTTGATATTAAAATTATACATTTCCAAAAATATATAGTTAAAAGGATATAACTTGTGTTCTTTAAAAGAACACTCACTTAACCCAGAATATAATGTGTAAAGTATGTGGAAAAGACAATGCTAACAGTACATTGATTTTTCAAAGGATGCTAAGAAACTTAAAAACTAACCTAATCGACTTCCTTAAGAAATAGCACATAATCCTAAGCTGGTAGCGACTTTAAAAAAGGCAAAAATTTTAACCACAAGCTTTAAATAAGAAAATTTAATTGAAGGTACTGATTACCCGTTGAAAAATACACCATACATACCATTGTATCAATGGTGAATGGTGATTCTATTTGTGTATGACGAGTCAGATTCACAAGGTTTGGGCAAATTCCGTGGACCACTCATCAGATCATGCCCATTCACATTTTTAATATCCACGTTACTAAATTATTACTATAACTTGAAGTTAACTAAAGCCTTTGTTGCTAAAAAATATAATATACAATCATTAATGGAGGTTTCATAATAAAATCGGACCTTGTTGATCGGGTCGATCTGGGACCAGTAAATCGGTCATATAACTGGTCTGGGTGAAACAACGGACCGGCCATGCATCAGAATCGATACGATACGACCCGACCGATTTTTGTGAAAATCATGACCCGATCGGTTAACCGGTAATCCGGCCCGATCCCAAAAAAAAAAAATTTCAAAAATTTTTTTAAAAAAAAAATCATAATAGACTTATTTGAGTATTTTTTGCTTATTGACTTACATAAGTTATGTACCTACAACATTAATATTATCTCAATTATGCACCATGCATAATATTTTAATTTGATTTATAGCTAGAGATGTCGTTTACTGAATCTAAAGCCACGTATTACTATCATTATATTTGTTTGATCCTTTATTGGATAATAATTTGTGATTTATTATTTTTTATATTAAACAATTTTAAATTTTTATCATTTTTCTTAGATATTTGAGTATGTTTATAATTTTTTAATACAAATTATATAATTACATATAATAATCGGGTCATGCGGTTCAACCAATGACCCACTGGTTGAACCAGTGACCCAGTACCTTGACTCAGTCAATGACTGAACTGGTTTTAATAACATTGGTTTCATCTAATAACTTAAATTATTGAGTTGAAATGTGATCTTAACTTATATTAAAAGCCATAAAGGGCTAGGCGAAACAACAACTGAGCATGAGCTAAAAGATCAAATTATAGACTTAATTAGTAAGAAAACATGTTGGATATCTTTATACAAAATCCCAAAAAACATTTCGAAAAGCAAACAACTAGATTTGTAGAGGTTTGATAAACCTCATAACTCATTAGCCAATAATCGGACAACAAAGACAAGCTTTCAATTAAGCCTCGGTAACATAGCGCACCAGAAGGCATCCTGTGTGAAGGATAGGAAAGAAAAGCAACTTAAACTAACTCATCAAAAGATATATCAATCATGTTGCCATACTAAGGTGGTATCCTGAGCCAACAAGTAGGTCATGTCGTATACTGTAAATAGAGAAGCCAAGATCCAAATACATGCATATTTCTCAATATACTTGACTTCATTAAACAAAAATTGATTTGAGCGTCAGAGTGCCTTGCAAGTACCACATATCCTGATTCAGTCAAAATACAAAACTGCAGGATTGAAGATCTCATCCCATTGATTTCATTCCGCATAACAGAGTAAAGATCTCGTTGCTTTCACTTAACCATCAAAATACTTATCTAAACCAGACTCAACCGTGTGTGGTTAGGTCCAATTACTTGTGAGTGGGAGGATGAGATTCTCCGACTATATCCTGAGTTAGTTGATAGGTATGATCTTAATTTTGAGGTCAAAATTTTTAAAACGTGGGGTGAATGTAATAACATATATTATCAAGTTGTGTAAATGGGAATTATTTGTGAGTTTATGTGAGTATTTGATGAGATTTAATGTGATAAATGTAAATAAGGATACAATTCTTGTCAATCAAATCATTTAGGGGACAAAAATACAAATATGAACAGTATAGGGGTCAAAGTGCTATTACATGAAAGTATAGGGACCAAATTGCAAATATGCAAAAGTTGGCCTAAACTTAATTATGATGTCATAATAAGATTATTTAGGAAATTTCATGGGTTTGAAATGATGTTATTAATTATTAAATCTTTTTAGAAATTAACTTATTAATTGTTGAAGATTGGAGGACTAGTTTGCAATTTTTAGAAACTTGTAAGTATTGACTTTGACCAAAGCTTATTAAAGAAGCTAGTGACTTAAATATTTTACCAAATCTCTCTTCTCCTTCCTCGGTCATGTGCAGCAACCAAAGCCACCATAGGAGTAAATACCAAGCTTTTCATTTCTTCATTTAGCCCCCAAAAAGCTTAGGGCTTGTCATGAAAATTGAAGCTCTTGACTTTAGGAACAAAACTCAACCATTTGTTTACCTTGGGAAGCTTTAGTTTGAGAGATATCATCATCTCATGATTTCAGTACTGTTTATCTTCTTGGAGAAATGATGAGTTTTTCAAGCTTGAAGAAGGATCTTTGAATGATTTTGGAGACATCCATGGTAAGAAAATGAAATTTGAACCATTGCTTCTTGTAGTTCAATATTCTAGGTTATGAAGGACTTTTGTATGTTGATGATTTTGGTTGTTTTATGAGAGTTTGATGGAGGTTAGTGTTCCTTGATTGATGTTGTGTTGAGTGGTCTTGTAGTGACCATTGGAAAGCTTGAAAAGTTGATGAACCAACCATGTTCATTTTCGGTTATGGTTTGAATAATGGTGTTGGAAGCTTTCTAGACTGAGGTTGATGCTTAGAAGTTGATTCTAAGGTTATTCCAAATGTTTTTAAGGTAAGAAAGCTTAGCTTTTGTATAGCCTTTCATGATGAATTTCCTATGCTTGATTTTCGGCCAATGCGAGGAAACATATGTACGAAGTTTGTTTAATTTTAATTGGAACTTGGAATGCATTTTTAGGGTCATTTTAAGAAGTTGTAAGGTAATATATCCTTACTTTGATGTAGTATTCATGATGAGCTAGAAAATGTAAGCATTCTTGATAAATTGGGATTGTTGGTCTAGACTTTATATGGGCTTGAATCAGCATGTCAATGTGATGAGAATTGATCAATAATAAAGGATAAATGATGAAACCAACCTAAGAACATATTCGAAATTTTGATGATAAAGTTAAGTGTTGAACTAGTCAGTTTAACACTTGAAATTAACCTTGATGGGTTGGTTGTTTTTGGTTGGTAATCTAGGCTCGAAACAAGTAATCAAGTACTAGAAGAATAAGCTTTGGATTAAACAAGTATTAGAAGCCCTAGTTCTTGGCTAATCAAGAATAGGGTAAGTATGCTAAATTATGTTTGGATTGGTGTTTTGACCATTAGGTTAATATTTGATACATGACATGTGTTAATGACTCCAATATCATACTTGAAATAGGTGATTTGGGGTGCAAGTAAGTTCGAAAGTCATTTGGATAAGTTTCTTGGATTACAAGCTATCTTAGAAAGGAAGCTACAAGAGGTAAGCTTTTGGTTTATAAGTTTTTCTCCTTCTTTGTTGTTCCACCATGGTCCAATGGGACCATGGTTTTATGTGTGCGTGATTGGAAATGTTAGATACATAGTATAGTTGCATTCATGTAGGATATATTTATAAGATGATATGATTTGACTGATTTATTATTCATGGCCAATGAACATTTACAAGTGTGTACTTTCTGTGAGGGACACAAGCCTTGAAGTATATGGTCCTTAGGGACTAAAGCCTTTGGCTTATCATGTATGATCTTCTGTGAGTACCAAGGTTCTCAGAGGAATTTTTTATCTTTCGTGAGGACTCAGGTTCTCAGAGGAATTTGTTAAGACTATCCATGGAAGAACTCAAGCTCCTAGAAGTCGTATATTAATGATGAGATATATAATGTCTCTATACTTTGTTATCTGACTTTTAATGCAGGAAGTGAACACATGGGTGGAGACTACTCCATAAATCCTGAGTTTACTGAGATATTGAATCTCACCCCATTTGAGGACATATTTCCAGTACTCAAGTAATAGGAGAGGGGCCCTCACAAGGCAAGAGGCCTGCACAAGGTTAGAAGACCCAGCTGGTGGATGTTTATTATTTTGAGGATGACTGTATTTTTTGTGAAGCATGTTATATGATCATGCACATTTGTATATAGTCTGATTTTTGTTTTGAGAGACGTGTATATATGATGTATATATTTTGTAATGAAGGCATGTGTAGCCTTTATACAGTTACATATTTTGATGTTGGCATTTATATAGAACTATGCTTGATATAGTAAATTATATGAATGTTGGCGTGGAGCCATTTTTTTGTATGAATCCATAGATGGATTCTAGGTCCATTGTTGTTGGACTGTTTGTTATCTGTTTGGACTGGTTTGTCTAGTTTTCAAGTACATGTATGATAGTGGGATATTATCCCTAGATTGTCCAGTTTACAGCTAAGATGTTGTCTGTGAGGTTTCTATCCGGGATGGTATGTATTATCATACTCGGATAGTCATTGACCATTAATCATGATTACAGGATTATCAAGTCAAAATTCTGTGCAAATATGGGATTGTATAGTTTGTATTAATATAAGAAATACAATATGCATGGCAATACAAAAGGAAAAAGTTAAGTCACGTAATTACAGAGATTAATAGTGATACCTTGTTAAGTCTTTCGCTTAATAAGTTAAGTATGTTGCACTTTTATTACCATATTGTATGTTAACAAACCAGCTCAAAATGGGGCGTTACATTCTGAGTTCTCCGAAAGCTGGTTGAGTAACTTTTGACAATTTTTCTGCAAGCTAAGCTCGTTGGATTTTGTCATGATTGCAAGTAAGCAATGGTTGCCATGTAAAGAATTTGTTAGTAGTTTTTTTTTTTAAGATATAAGTGAAAATGAAACACACAACCTAATACAACTTATCCAAACCATCAATCCTAGTAGCTTGAATTTGTTTAGTATTGAAGTCACAACAATGAACCAACTGATTTCCCCTAATAATAATAATAATAATTCATGATAATTCATTCGCCACATAGCTATAGTATTAGTAATAAAACAAATTCATCCACCAAAATAATAATAATAATAATAATAATAAAACAAAGGAAAATGTAAGTATAATTTTTTTTTTTTCGGTACATAATGTAAGAATAATGTTACTAGACATAGAAACATCTTCCTGCTGAGCCATCGATAGGAGTGCCTCCCTTTTTTCTTTTTTTCTTTTTTGAAACATGATGGGGCCACCTCAAGTGGTATCTTCAGGAAACTTAACTTATCTTCATGACAAATGTAAAACCCTACAACAAACTCAAGGTAAGTGATGGGTGGAAGTTACAATTTAATTAAATCGTGCCTTTTATATCACTAATAATAACAACAGAATTTCATCAAGTCGTGTACAGCAAATAAGATTTCTCATAACTATTATTAATTAATGGGAAAAATGTTAAAATTACAAACATTAAACCCTTAATTAAAATTAATGGAAATCGTATTTATTGTTCACGAGTTCAATTTTAAAAAATGGATAACTTCTCCTAATTGATCCCAATATGAAAATTACTTTTAAAATTATATAAAACGAAAAATTGATGACCATACAAAAAGGGATCCAATGGCTACTGTCCGTGTTGGCAAGGATGGATCTTATTCCATATTTTTTTTCATATTTTTCAGACTTAAGGAGAAACACTATTCTTTCTCACTTCCTTAGGTGTGATTCATTTTTCATATTTTTCTCCTCTATTTATATACGTTTTTTTATTGGAAATATTTTAATATGTTCATTGCTTCGCAACTAATCCGATTCAGGGTGAATCCAGGATTAAGACTTTAAACCCCTTTTAAAGATAGTACTGGGGAGATATTCCAATCTATTTATAAACGTTTAACAAACCATTATTCGATGATTTAGATAATTCTATAATTATTAGGAGAATTTTCTAAGAATGGAATCATTTCAATATTTCATTGAAATATGTCTCCATCTAGATAATTAAGGAGGAAGATAATTCCAACATTTAGTGTTCATGAATCTCAATCATAGGAATAGCCTCCTTAATTTTTGTTCACGTATGCTTGTAAGGGCAGTCACATCCGGGACATGAATGAGTCACGGACATTCAAATTTGGATATTTGAAAAACAAAACAAATAGAATGAGTCAGATGAGAATTTTAAAATTGCTAGTTGCAATGTCATGATTCATAACGACACACATACAGGGACAAAGACATCCTACTTAATTAGGTTCCTTGAACATGTACTAAAAATCCAGTTTGAAGAATCACTGCAGATTCTCCATTTGAACTCTTCAAAATTATTGTAAATTCATACATGTCATTCAAGTCAGCTAATAAGTTTTGAAGGGGGAAATAAAAAAAAAAAAAAAAACAATCACACTTTTTTAATATTTTGATTTAATGAATGAATCCTCCCAATTTTGAGGCTATTTTTCTTTCTTGGAAATATTTGGTATTAGTTTTTGGTATGTTCTCCATATCCAAATACAAAACTTCCAGATAACAAATCAAAGGTTGATATTCATCTCATTCAAGAGAAAGCCATAAGGGAAATATGAGGAGCCAAACTAAAAAGCAGCAAATATTGATGATGATAATAATAAGGGAAAAAGGTTTGTGCTATTAAAGGACACGAGTTTGTGTCATTTTAGTGTTTAACACTATATCTTACCGATAAGACATAGTTATAGTATGAAAAGTTTTATTTTTCCTCTGTCCTCAGTCACTTCAGCTGACATGGAGAGAGAAAAATATCAACTTTTCATATTATAATTATGTCTTATTGGTAAAATATAATGTTAAACACTGAAAGGACACAAGTCCATTAAAAAGACATCCACTTAACCCTAATAATAATAATAATTATGAAAAATAGCTTACACTTTGATTTGATCCCTATTATCTTTGACTTTGATTAAAGCATCCAATGCTCCTTGATTTGATATATCTCCTAGATTTATTTATCAAACTATAAACGTTAGACCTGGTTTTGTTATCAGTTAGTGCTAACTAAACAAAAGCAAATACATCATAACAATCTCTCTCTCTCTCTCTCAAACAGACCATAACAGAAACACCACAGAAGCCAAAAAACCTGCTCAAGATTAAGTCCCTCAAATATCAAATAAGCATAAGAAAAAAAACTATCCACATAGCAAGTAATAGAACTAGAATCTGTTTCTTTCCTCTGAACTCATGCCATGATCAAAACAGGCTCTATCACCTTATTAGCCATAGTTATATCTTACTTGTTACTTGTCATTGCACCAACCCCAAAATCTACCTATCATTCTCTCTTCATATCCAATTCCCTATCAGACAATGCCTCTATATCCCACCACCTTGAAACTCTCACCCGCAGACCCCACACAGCAGGTTCTGAAGCCAACGCTGAGGCTGCAGCTTATGTTCTCTCAGTCTTCACCTCCTGCAACATACCATCACACTTGGCTTCCTATAAGGTTTCCCTCACATACCCTTTTTCTCGTTCCTTGGTGCTAACAAACCCACCACCAGAACCTTCCACCAGCTTCAGTCTCAGCCAAGAAATTTATGAGGGTGATCCTTATGCTGAGGTTGCAGAAGAGGTTGTTCCCACATTCCATGCTTATGCAAAGTCAGGCACTGCCATTGGCCCTGTGGTTTACGTGAACTATGGAAGAGTTGAGGACTATTTGACATTGGAAAATATGGGGGTCAATGTTTCAGGCACTGTTGTATTGGCAAAGTATGGGAAAATCTATAGAGGGGATATTGTGGAGAATGCATATGATGCAGGTGCTGTTGGGGTGGTGATATATTCAGATAGGAAGGACTATGGTGGTGCTGGGGTGGCAAAGTGGTTCCCTGATGACAAGTGGTTGCCACCAAGTGGGGTTCAGGTGGGGACAGTTTATGGTGGGGTAGGGGATCCTACAACTCCTGGTTGGGCTAGTAGTGGTGAGTGTGAGAGGCTTTCCAAGGATGAGGTGGAGAAGGAAGGAAGTGTTCCTCTTATACCGTCATTGCCAATTTCAGCAGCAGATGGTGAAAAGATAATGATGTCAATTGGTGGCCAAGTTGCAGATGATGATTGGCAAGGAAGCAAAGATGCTCCTACTTATAGGGTTGGACCAGGACCAGGAATTCTCAACCTCAGTTACATGGTATCTTATCTCTCTACTATCTAGTGGAAGTTTCAATGAATTCCTTACTTGAAAGCCTTTCTTTCTGTTTTCATTTTATTATCAATTAAGGGCTTGTGATAATGTCAAAAGCAAAGGGCTTGTGATAATGTCAAAAGCAAAAACCACTCCAGTGGTATCTGATTGGCTATAAAAGAAGAACCCTTTAGGTGGTGTTTGGTTGGGAGCTTTTTAGCGGATATCTATCTTTCTCAAGTATGGCTTTTAGAAATACCATGTTTGTTTCAACGTTTTTCACCAAAAATTCATCTATCCAATTTGTCTGGATTTATGAGAAACATAGATATCCGCACTGTTTAGAAACTCAATTTGAAGGTGGGATTTTTCGGAAAACTGGTTATCTGACTTTTAATGCACTGTTGATTTCATAAAGTTACCTAATTTTCCCAGTAAAATTTTTCCCCACCAAACAACTTTTTTTTACATTTTTCTATCTATCTCACTTTATCTATCTTTCCAATCATTTCTCTATCTATCTCATTTCCCTACTATTCCAAAAAAATTTCCTGAACCAAACGCCCCCTTACTGAATTGATACGTGGATTTTTGGACATTGGTTTTCAGGGGCAGGATGTTATGGCCACAATTCAAAATGTCATTGGTGTGATTGAAGGAGCAGAAGAGCCTGACCGGTATGCCAGAATTCCTTATTTATCGTTTGCATTCATTAATTAGCAATGAAATATGATGCAGCCAAGATTGAGAACTTAGAAAATTCACTTCACAACCTTGTTTGCTTGAATTTTTTTTTTTTATATCTAGTCACTGTTGCAACTGGTTGTAGATTTGTCATTCTAGGTAACCATAGGGATGCATGGACATTTGGAGCAGTTGATCCCAATAGTGGCACTGCAACACTACTTGAGGTAACAATGGCTTTGTTTGTGGACATTGTTTTGTCTATCCATGCCAAACCATTGAGATAAAAATGGACACAATGGCACAATTGACATGTCTCCTGAAATTCAGGTAGCCCAAAGACTGGGGAAGCTTCAGAAAAGAGGGTGGAAACCTAGAAGAACAATTATCTTATGCAATTGGGATGCTGAGGAATATGGCCTTGTAATTTTCTTTATCTCTCTTTTCTCACTTTCTCTTACACAAAGTTGCACGCCAGATGAAAATTTTGTGTGATCATTCCCTCCAGATAGGATCAACTGAATGGGTAGAAGAGAACAGAGAAATTCTTGCTTCAAAGGCTGTTGCATACTTGAATGCTGACTGTGCAGTGGGAGGACCAGGGTTCCAGGCCCGTGCTACTCCACAACTTGATGAATTGATCAAAAGAGCAACTCAGCAGGTATCACAAAAGTTGAACTAAAAATAATTAGAGTAAGCTCTTTTGTACTTAATCAGTTAAAGAAGATATATGATGGTGGCACCAACAACTTTTGTTAATATTGATTCTTTTGAAGGTCAAAGATCCAGAGAACTCATCACAGAGCATTTATGAATCTTGGACTAGTTCTGGTAGTTCTCCTGTGGTAAGTATATTCACTTGTTTGCATCTTTATGCTAAAAATCTAATTAAAAGAGACTGAGGGAAGACCAAAATCAGTATTGCAGATTAGAAACATTCAATTTACTTTGCTTTTAATTTCAAAAATTTAGCCAGTTATAAGTGGGGATTAAACTTTAGAATTGCTGTATAATCTGAATATCTATCTATGCTCATAAACTATTTCTCTCTATGCATTGAAAGTTTGGAAGGTTAGGAGGTGGAGGATCAGATTATGCAGCTTTTTTGCAGCATGTCGGAATTCCGGCAGCTGACATAGCCTTTGGAGGAGGTAAAGGACGAAACTCATTCCTTTAATCATTAAGATGCAAATATATCAATAATCTCATTTGTGCTATACATGTCATTGTTCTGGTGAAGCCTGTGATAAATGATTTCTCATAAACAAAATGAAAGATAGAAGTCATAATATACTTTTAGAAAAATTCAAAATCCAAATGCCAAGAAGCTTTTAGCTCAATTGGCACCAGTCCAAGTCTTTTAAGACTGGGTGAAATTTCAAAGTCCAAATATCTCTGAACAAGAAGCTCAAACTAGGGCAAAACAGAATTTGAGAAAGCTTCCCTTTTGAATTAGTGTTTATTGATAAGTAATGGACAAAATGAGTACTATATAAATGAAAAAGACCATAGACTCAAGGTCTTAAGATTTTACATTGAGACGTGGTGTCAGCTCACTTATTGTGATTTGTCATTTGACCCAAAGTATCCTTTGTAAAGGATTTTGGGTTCCTCTGACCTCGCTGCGTAACACAAATACACCTTATTTGCCCATTTTCATGCAATCTCACTTTACAAGGGCGTTATTTGCTCATTGATAACTGGGTAATATGTACAGCAACATAAGCAACTTCAGGATTCTATGCCTAGATAGAAGTAACATTTTGTCATCGACGAGTGAACATTGAAAACAACTTTTTTCACAGATGTTGCGGCATACCCGGTATACCACTCACTGTATGATGATTTCATCTGGATGAAAAAATTCGGTGATCCTATGTTTCAAAGGCATGTTGCAGGTTGGTCACATAAATTCTCTTACAGTTTCTGTCACTGTAAAATCTATCTCAAAAGACTCTATTGACATCAAAATGAATTAAGGTTTGTTGAGAAATATAGTCCCACATTAGTTGTATAGGCAACTAATGTGAGGTTTATAAGGCCTTGGACAATCTCACCCTTTGAGCTAGCTTTTGGGGTGGTGACCTCAAGGTTCTTAACTGATGGTATCAGAGCGTTCGAAATCTCACCGCCTCCCACTTTCTTTGTAGTGGAATTTCCACGTGTAGGTGGGCTTGTATGTTGTCCACCCTTCAAGCCCAGTGGGCTCTCGTATGAGGGGGCGTGTTGAGAAATATAGTCCCACATTAGTTGTATGGGCAACTAATGTGAGGTTTATAAGTCCTTGGGCACTCTCACCCTTTGAGCTAGCTTTTGAGGTGGTGACCTCAAGGTTCTTAACATGATATCAGAGCCTCGCTGCCCCCCACTTTCTCTTGTGGCATTTCTTAGCACTGGTAGACTAGGCTTGTTGCATTGTCCACTCTTCAAGCCCAATGGGCTCTCGTGTGAGGGGGCGTGTTGAGATATATAGACCCACATTGGTTGTATGTGCAACTAATGTGGAGTTTATAAGGTCTTGGGCACTCCCACCCTTTGAGCTAGCTTTTGGGGTGATGACCTCAAGGTTCTTAACAAAGTTCTCCTTAGTTTTATCATTATGTCTTCAATTTATTTGAAAATTTGATATAATTTTCTTTTCGTACTATATATATATATATATATATATATATATATAGAGTCAGGATCATTTTACACCAGTGTAAGTTACACTCGCAATCTTGACCATTGATCTCATTTATATCTAAGGGCTCTAATTTTTTAGTAATGTGAACCATTGGATACAAGTGGATCAATGCTCAAGATTGAGTGTAAGACTTCTAACTCTTACACTGGTGTAAGAATATTCTGTCCCATATATATATATATATATATATATATATATATATATATATATATATTTTCTTTACATGTTAAATTTTCCACAATAAGCATACACAACAAGAATTTTGTCATTATGTTTCATTAAATAAAAGTAAGCCTTAATTGAATCCCACTTTTTACCACATGATTATTAGCATAGATATTAATTCACTTACCCCAATAATTTTTATATTTTATGTTTTGGAAAACAGCGGCAAGTGTTTGGGGTCTAGTAGCACTTTGGCTAGCAGATGAGGAATTCTTACCTTTTGATTATCTATCTTATGCTAAGGAGCTCAAGGTATGCCCACATTAGATGGTGATTTTTATTAAACTTCATAATTTTACACAGACAATTCTCACTGAATTTGAGAGCATGAAAGATATTTAGAACACCAACTATTTAAATCACAGCTTAGCGTGGAAAAACTAGAAGATGAGATTTCAAATAAAGACATAAATTTGTCTCCATTATTCACGTACATCAAGGAGCTTGAGAAAGCAGCAATCAAGATAAAGAACCAAAGAAAGGTATTGTTGAGTGTATTTAGACCATAATTCTTAAATAACCAGTAGCATATTTCTTTCTTTTTTCTACTTTTTTTGTTTTTTTTTTTTTGTGGGAGAGGTGCAACACATTGAAAAGTGATTCTACAGGAAATAGAAGCAAGTAAAGGTTGGACAACATGGAAGAAGGACCACTTGAAAGTGAGAGAGCTAAATGATAGATTGATGATGGCTGAGCGTGCATTCACTGATAGAGATGGCCTCTTTGGAAGGTCATGGTATAAGCATTTGGTAACTGTCTCTCTTTCTTTCTTTCTTTTTTTGGATAAATCTTTCTTTCTTTCTTTCTTTGTGGGGGGTAGTTGCAAAGCATTTTGTTAAGTATTTACTCAAGAAGGAAGTCATTTTCAGACCACTTCCCTCATTCTTCTTCTGGTTTATGACTAAACCAAGGGTGCTTAAGTAAAGATGAAATTGAAGGATTTTATCAACAAGAACAAAAAGAGAGAGACATAAAATTGAAGGAACAGACAAAGTGGAAAAAATTTGGCAATGTCTCCTCCCTTTTAGCTTCTCTCGTTTCCAGAGTTATTCTAGCTATCTTTTTTTTTTTTTTTTGAATAAATCACAGATATTCTCCACGAAAAGCAATCTTGCTGGACGGATTCAAAATTAATGCTTTAAACCTCTTTCAAAGATGATGCTGGGGAAGATCGAACTTATTCTAGCTATCTAGTAGAAATTTTTCGTGGAAGTGATTGAAACATTAAATTATCAAGTCTTACCTTTAATTTCAATTTCCCCCATTTTTCAGATCTATGGACCATCAAAACATAATGACTATGGCTCCCAATCTTTCCCTGGAATTGATGATGCTCTAAACATGGCAAAAAAACTTCATACTGCAGAATCATGGCATTGTGTGCAACACGAAGTTTGGAGAATCTCAAGAGTCATCATACATGCCTCGTTAGTTCTCTTGGGCCAACTAACATGAATATCAATGTACTTTTACATTTTCTATTGATGATAACGTACATATATAAATAAGTGTATATGATGGAAGATTCATAAATCTTTCATACCTCAGAAGCTAATTAGGATTTTCCCCACCTAGCATCTGTCAAATGCACTTTGCAAGTTGATTTTCTCAAGCTACAAGGCCGTCACTCTTCTGTGATGAGAAACCAACATGTAAGTTTTGGATCCGAATAGGATATTTTTCATCGTGATTGTAAATATTAAGTTTCTGAATATCAACCTAGACGTACGTAACGTCCCTACCATCACTTTTGCATTGCATGCTTGCATATATCTCAAAAACATCTATGATAGAAACTAAAATTGACACAGCACCCAAACAAAAAGGGACTGCATAACTGACAACCTATCAAGGAATGTTCATTTTTTATTCCCAGTTCCTGCCAATCTGATTCTATCATTCTAAGTTTAAAGGAACAAATATTGAAGTACAGAAATCTGGTGACACAAACGACACACAAAACAAAGTGGGGCAGTTGAACGATGAGACAAAAGAGAGGGAACTATGAGAAAAAAGACTGAAGGGACAAGATAAAGACATTGGACGTTCAGTATTTTGAAGGGGTAGAGGTTGTGTAACTGTCTTAAATATATCTAGGTCGAACTGTATCTTGTTTGATTTTCCTGGTTTGATGTTTGTTTTGAAATAGTTCGACAATACTCGATTGATGGTTCCTCTTCCCTCCTTTATGTATATATAATATGGAATTTGTATTTATCATTTAACATGACACAACAAACTTTCCTACGTACACAACATTTTGTGGGCCCACATTTTTTGAAGAAAAAAAAAAAGAATATTACGGCACACAAAACGAATCTCTATAACATTACACAATCAATTTTTCTACAACATAGCTCTTATAAAACTCATATAATATGAGTTTAGGGGGAAAAAAAATTGGTCACATCCACATAAAAATTAATAGATCTCATTATAAAAAGAACAGAGAAAAAAATAATTAATAAAATTCACTCACTTTTTTTTTTTTTGGTAAATAAATTCACTCACTTTTATGTGTGTAACAAAAACTTTTTCTGCAACAAAAATAAAAATATTTTTCACATTTAACATATGACAAACACTTTTCCCTTTTAACATATATCATGATAAATTCTGAAAAACTTGTGTGCTGATAATATTATTTGAGAAAATTCCATATATTGTAATATTCATTCAAAATAAAGATTTTAAGCCACTTTTGCTTGTCGCTTCGCTTAGGAGACAGTGACATACAATTGCCTACAGCTGAAAACAGATCTTGGTGGATATATAATCCATACGCGAGAGGGTTGGTCTTATTAATTGTCATATGAAACGATTATTGATTATTAAATAATTGGAGCCGCAAGACTTGAACATCTTCAAAGAACAAGCACTTATCTTTCTTAAAGAGAAATTCCTCATACAAATTGATGTGTTCGGAAGACCACAAGGCCAGCCAAGAAAGAAGACACCTTCAAAGAAACTTCCCTTGTCTATCTAAAAATATCAAAAATGCAAAATAATTTTTCCCGGAAAATAGGAGTAGATTATATAAAACCTGTGTTAATAATATCATACTGAACAAAAACGTATTCAATTGTTAGATGAAATCTCTGCTTGTTAAAACATCAAGCACGGATGTATTGAGAAAAGTTAATAGTTAATCTTACAAACTACTCGTGCCCTTAACACTCTTAAGGTTGTATTGTGGATAAAACTAATTATCAAATTTATCTAATTCCCTATTCATAATACCTGCTGTACAGATCAAGGGTACTCAGAAAAATTGGAAACTAAAGAAGGGAGGATTTAATGACGATTTGATGGGTTAGTTCCTATACTTACTTTATGTACAGTTTTAACTACTAGGAGCTGACACTACTTATGTACAACAATGCCAAGATGAACTTTAGTAATTTACTTCCAAACCTTTATGGCCCCATCTCTGCCACTAGACAGTAAGAGTCTCTGGTTTAACTTTACAGAAGCCAAGGAAATAATAGAATCACGATGGCAACCGGCAGAATCAGTGGCAGCAGCTGCAAGAATTGCCTTCGCTGTCAGCTTGGTTGTAAGAGGACGTCTTTTTGTCTCCTGTTTATAACAGTAGAAGGCGAAATTTTAGCTGCCTATATTCTAAAAAAGTTGGAAATTTTGAGGAGAATCAAGCAATATATAACAGCACTTCAAAGGCATGATAAATTTAAACCATAAAACATCCACTGGGATAACAGGAGATTTGGCCATTAGAGAAAGTAAAGATTCCTGCTATCCATGCTTATCTGTCATCCTATCAAACATTGATTCCCTCTTGCAGCCCATTACCCCTTGTTCCCCTTCACAACGTAGTTTAAAAAAATAAAAAATAAAAAAACTTATCCAAGGAATACATGATAGTTGGGTGTGTAATTTCTCGATCATTAGCTGAGAGAAGAAAAAAGAAGAAAGGCATGGTTGAGCTGAACCAACCGAAAGCAAACTACTAGGTCATATCTCAAGGACAGTTGAAGTACCCAAATTTATAATTCATTCAGCATGTTCGAACCATAAATACAGCTAATGCACCCTATGCTGATTGAGAACCTCCCCCCTCAAACAAAAAATCAATGCACACAAGAAATAAAAAGCTTGAATACGACAATCTAATGAAACATATATTACCTGTACAACTTGCACTCCAAAACTAGATTTTGTTTCGTAAAAATCATCATTTCCCATTCCTTTTAAGTTTGGTCCACAAATACAGTAACTTCTGTCAGGACTGCAACAAAAGCATACATAAATAAATTCAATCAGACCATTTTCACAAGAACAAGTAAACAAGATTGAAGTTCAGCACAAAACCTGTAATGATCCCATCGTCGTATCTTTAAATCAGTGCCCCCAGTCAGTAAATCACCCCCTGGTAAGGGAAGTAATGAACGAATACCAGGAAGACGATGAGGAGGTTCATTTAGGTCATCAACTCTGTACTTGCGATTAACATTTCGTCTTGGATCTGATTGAGAAGTTGGTTTACTTGAAGGTCTGGCCAAGGCCCAAGGCAGATCAGACATTTCTGCATCACTGTCATAATTGGCCATCCTCAATACCTGCAAGAAGATTTGTTAATAGTACAAGACAATAATCAGATTATTATAAATATGAAATATGAATATATTTCATGATTCAACATAGTTGTAAGCAATCAGGGTACAGGATCATATCATAAGCATTATGGAACCAGCTCAATGTAAATCATAAATTATTAAGGGAAAAGTGTGTATCATTTTAAAGGATGTAAAGTTATGTCATTTTAAGTGAGAGAAAGAGATAGATTATAGAAGAGAAAGAGTTCACAAAAAAAAAAAAAAAAAAAATGTGGGTCTCACCTCTTTGTGAGAGTGAAATGATACATGTTGTGTCATTTAAAAAGACAAATACTTTTCCCAATTATAAATTATACAACACTCCAAGTACTAGTGATAAAAACAAAAGGTGGTAAACTTCATTAGAAAACCACATCGCTTGATAAATAGAAATTTGAACTTAGCTGGAATATTTGTTGGTACAGGGTTTTGTTCTAGCACATATTGCTTTTATTTTCTACTAACATAACAGTAACTTCATACCTGGTGGCAGCTACCATTCTCTGCATTCCAAAGAGAAACTTCATTGCAACCAGCTGCCACATAAACAAGGGGCCTGGCAGTTGAAGACGGAGAAACATTTGGAGGAGGAAGAAAGAGACACATCTTTTCTATAGGGCATGCAAGAGAATACTGCCAAGAGTTCACAGGTATTAGAAACCTCAGATCCCAAAGTGTAATAACACCCCTTGAAGACCCTGACACAAACCAATTACCACAAGGCCCAGATGCCAGAGAAGAAGCATAGCCCTCCTCAGGAGTAGCTTTTAAGGTCCAGGTATTGGAATTTGATCTAGTATCCCACAGATGAATGCCACAGTTCTGGGTGCTATACATGATGGAATAATTATCCACAGGGCAATTCAAAAGGCTGAGTAAGGCACCTTCCTTGATATCCTTCTTAGTGATGTCAGCAATACCAGAATACTTCTCAACAACATTTCCTAGACCTCTAGAGATATGATCAATAGAAAACATATGAATTAATCCATCAGATGCTCCAACTATTACTTGTGCAGAATATGGAAGCATCGTTGCACATAACGCACGGCTTCCCTCCAGGTGATAAGTTAGCTTGGACCTGAATGAAATGTCCTTTTCCAGCTTTCTGGAATCCCAAATCTTGACTGTAGAGTCATCAGATGCGCTCACAAAGAAGCTTTGATCACCAGAAACTGCTATGTCACTGACAGCTGAACGGTGCTCCTGGAGGTGTGCAACCAACACCCCACGGGGCCTCCAACCAGAATCAGGAATGGATGTTCGAGCAAAAGATTGAAATCCTGACAGATCAGTTTGGGCAGTTGCATCTTCCAGTGCAATTGAAGTACCTTTAATATTAGTAGATAATCCCACATCTTGAAATGTGCTGTTTACATAGGCTGTGTCATTTTCCCTGGGATCTGGTTCATGTACCACTCGATGGAACTGTTTAGAACCATTGCTGATGCTAAAAGAACCGGAAAAAAGCTTTGGTGCTGGAACAGAACTAGCCAAATCAAAGGACTTACTAAGTGGATTAACCCAAGGCATCGCAGATGAACTAACACCCAGGGAATTCATTTGTAATGGAGAATCAGATGCTGCAGGAGGGATTCCCATGCCTCGCCTGTCCATACTGAAGGAGTACAAAGGTATGCCTTCTGATGGCTTTTCAAATGTCAAACTGTTTACACCACTAAAATGTGGTGACATAAATCCTGAAAACTGTAACTTCTCCATGCATTGAGGATCACGATGTCCTACTATATTGCTATCATTATGCATAAAGGCCCCCATATCTCTTAATTTTGCCTCAGCTTTGTCACAATCAGTTCGCTCCGGCTGTTGGAAGGCAGTGCCAACAGTTTGTTGAACCCCAGGACCTTGTTGCTTGTCAGTCCAGTTCTTTAATGAGTCCAACTCATCAATTCCTTTTTTCAGTAAATCCATTTCCCATATTTTAGATTGTGATGAACTATACCATATCTTTCTCTGTCTTTCTAACATGTCCGAACTCCTGGAGTTCTCCAAGACTTCATAGAAAACCTGTCTTGAGACAGGGGGTTTTAGACATGACAAAAGAGCCTTCTCTGAAGCAAGAGACACAGGTTGTCTACGAAGGA